CCCTGGGGGTCCCAGGCCCCCTCCCTGCCCCATTCAGGTCCCAAAGGCTGATGCCCCTCTCAGGATCCATCACTCCGTGTCTGATCCCACACAGACCCTGGCACTGCTCCCAGCACTCCTGGAGCTGGAACATCCCACAGGGCTGGAGAGGGAGCAGGACAAACAGCCTGGGGAGATTCTGGGGAGATTCTGGGGAAATAGGGAGTGAGGGAGCCTGGGTGGCCATGGGCCATGGCGTGGTGTGGGACAGGGTGGGACAGCCACAGCCCAGGTGGGGACAGGGATTTGCAGGTCCAGGAGGAGCCCAGCACATTGCCATTGCCACAGGCTGGGGATTGAGGGCCTGGAGCTGGGCTGGGCACCAGCTCTGTCACCATCAGATTTTCTGAAAAATCCTCTTTGCTCAGGATTTCCCTCCTGGGAAGCCTCAGAGAAAAAGGAAAACAATATGATCTCATTTGCTTCTCCTGTGTTTTGCTGTTTTGGAATGTGGTTGGAGATTGTTTATCCAACGTGTGAATTGTTTTTACTCATTGGCCAATTTCGGCCAAGCTGTGTCAGACTCTGGAGAGAGTCACGAGGTTTTCTTTAGTATCTTTTAGCCTTCTGTCTGTATCCTTTCTCTATTCTTTAGCATAATATAATATAATATAATATAATATAACAATACATTAGCCTTCTAAGAACATGGAGTCAGATTCATCATTTCCTTCCTGCCACGGGGGACCCCGAAAACACCACATGGGTGTCCATAGGACCCTGCAGCTGGGGCTGCCCCTGGATCCCTGGCAGTGCCCAAGGCCAGGCTGGACACTGGGGCTGGGAGCACCTGGGACAGTGGGAGGTGTCCCTGGCATGGCAGGGTGGGATGGGATGGATTTTAAGGTCCCTCCCAACTTGGGCAAATCAGAATTGGGGAGCTCCACCTTGGAATCTGGAGCCCCTGAGATCCACAAATGTCCCTGCATTTGGGAGCTTTGGACTGAAAACAGAGGTGCCATGGTCAGCCCAAGTGGAAAATTCCCCAGTGGAAAATTCCCACTTTGAGGGAGGGAGAGTACCAGGAGCCCCTTGGCAGCTGGAGCAAAAGCAATCAGAGTAACTGAGCTGCCTGGCAGGGGAATTCATTCCCAAATGTGCCAGCCAGCAGCGAGCTGGGTGATGAGGCTGACAACGTGAACCTTCAGGTGATGGAATGGGGGCTTTGCTCCAGGCAGGCAGGGCCATGGCCAGGGCAAACGAACAGCCACCAGCTCCTGGGACCATGGATCAGCCAGGCTGGATCTGTTGTGCCAGGCTGGAGCTCTCTGGGACCATGGAGCAGCCAGGCTGGATCTGCTGTGCCAGGCTGGAGCTCTCTGGGACCATGGATCAGCCAGGCTGGCTCTGCTGTGCCAGGCTGGAGCTCTTGGGACCATGGAGCAGCCAGGCTGGCTCTGCTGTGCCAGGCTGGAGCTCTCTGGGACCATGGATCAGCCAGGCTGGCTCTGCTGTGCCAGGCTGGAGCTCTCTGGGACCATGGATCAGCCAGGCTGGCTCTGCTGTGCCAGGCTGGAGCTCTTGGGACCATGGAGCAGCCAGGCTGGCTCTGCTGTGCCAGGCTGGAGCTCTCTGGGACCATGGAGCAGCCAGGCTGGATCTGCTGTGCCAGGCTGGAGCTCTTGGGACCATGGAGCAGCCAGGCTGGCTCTGCTGTGCCAGGCTGGAGCTCTCTGGGACCATGGATCAGCCAGGCTGGCTCTGCTGTGCCAGGCTGGAGCTCTCTGGGACCATGGAGCAGCCAGGCTGGCTCTGCTGTGCCAGGCTGGAGCTCTCTGGGACCATGGATCAGCCAGGCTGGCTCTGCTGTGCCAGGCTGGAGCTCCTGGGCCATGGATCAGCCAGGCTGGCTCTGCTGTGCCAGGCTGGAGCTCTCTGGGACCATGGATCAGCCAGGCTGGCTCTGCTGTGCCAGGCTGGAGCTCTTGGGACCATGGAGCAGCCAGGCTGGCTCTGCTGTGCCAGGCTGGCTCTCCAGGGACGTGGATTGTGCCAGGCTGGCTGGCCCTGTGCCAGAGCATCCTCCCATCCCCACAGCCCCAAAGGCAGCAGTTCCTGCTCTGGAGCAAAGCAGCAAAGGACAAAGTGCCCCACTCCTGCCACAGGAAGGGGTTGGTCCCTCAGCTCTGACTCTGAAGTTTCTGTGATCATTTGTGAGAAGGTAAAACCCAAGAGTGGGAAAATGGGGGTCCCAGGAGGACACAGATCACTCCCCTCACCGCTGCTGGGAGCTGCTTCCCTAAAAAACCCAAATCCAGCAGCTCTGAGCATGTCATGAGGGTTTAGGAGGGATTAGAGGGATTAAGGGGGAAAGCTTTTAACATGAGCTGTCCCTGTGCCAGTTCTGGGGGTGCAGCAGGGACATCAGGACCCCACAGCTCCCAGCAGGGGGAACACAGCCCACCCCCAGCTCAGACACCCCGCTAAAATCGCAGTTTGGGGTTAAAAACCAGCCTGTTGGGGTAATTCACAGGGGAGGCGCATTAGCCAGGTAAATCTGCTTAAGGGAGTGAAGGAGGAGGACTAATCACTCTGGGATGAAGGCTTGGGATAATCTCCCAAGGAGAAAATAATTGGGCAGTGAGGTGTGGGGGATGTAGGCTGCAAGCAGGCTGTGCTTTGTCCTGACCCTGGGGGAACTGTGGGGACAAACACCACAAACCCTCAGCGCTGCAGGGCTCCTCTGGACCAGACCTGGCTCTGCCCGGGAGTGGGCACTGCAGCTCTGGGAAGTGGCACACACTGGCACACAGACATCACAGAGACCCAGCACCACCAGGACAGCCCCAGACAGGCTGCTGGGAACGGGGAGAGAGACAGGGACCATGAGGGTGGGACAGGGACACGGGACAGGAGTGCTGGGAACGGGGAGAGAGGGACAGGGACCATGAGGATGAGACAGGGACACGAGGCTGCACAGCCCCACTCACCTGGCTCAGACTCAGGTAAAGGTGTCCCTGGGCTGGAGTTGGGACTCATTCCCAGCATCCCCAACACCCCACAGTGGCATTTGGCCCCAGGAAGGGTCAGCCCAGGGCAGCTGAGGGAAGAGCTGCCACAGCCCTGCCACAGGAATCACCACAAATGAGGTTTTCACAAGTCCAGTGCTCCCAAAGCCCCGGTGCTGCCAGACTGCAGCTGCACAGTGAGGGGGCCCTGCAGCAGGACCCACCCACCCTTCCGGGAGCCCCCAGGACAGCAGGCTCAGGCAAACCTGGTGCACCAGAGCTGCTGCTGCCCACAGCTCCAGCCTGCCCCGAGCACACGGGCTCGGGAAGGAGCTGGGCGTGCACCTTGTGCTGCAGTGCCTGCTGTGGGACACACGGGGCTGGTGGCACCAGCACCTTGTGCTGCTGTGGGACACACGGGGCTGGTGGCACCAGCCGCTCAGGGTCTCAGTGCTGGGGGGATTGAGCTGCCCCCACTCAGGAGCTGGGGGGATCACACATGCAGCGTCCCAGGGATGGATGCCCTGTTCCGTGTCCCCTTTTCTCCCCTACCCTATGCTCCCCTTTAATCCCGACTGGAGGAGCTTCATGCCCCAGGCAGTGACATCACCCGAGGCTGAATGTGGGGAATGTTCCTGAGACCAGGGTGACTGGTAGGGCACAGGGATCCAATGGTCCCCGTGTGCCCCTTCCAACTCAGGCAGTTCCACGACCCTCAGAAGTGGGGGATGAGCCCCAGGGCACTCCTGGCACCTCCCAGCACTGGACACCAGTAGGACCCCCCAGGCAACTGGAAACTCTCCTGCTTGTTGTCCCTGGACACCAGGTCCCTTGTCCTGTGCTGCTCCCTGATTTCCAGTGCAAACACAGGACAGTCCCGTGGTTCTGGCAGGACCAGGAACGAAGGCATGGATGCCACCAAGCCTCAAAAATCTGAATTTACTTGGAACTGTGTGAACTTACCTCAAACGCTGTGCTTTCCTTCAGGAGTCTGAGCAGGAAGAGGGGCTACAGCCCCACCCTGGTGCTACAGCTCCAGCCCACAGCCAAAGGTGTGGGGCTCACCTGGAGCAGGTGAGGCAGCCAGAGATCCTGGAATCAGTTTGGGCTGAGGGACCTCTAAAGCTCACCCAGTTCCACCCCCCTGCATGGGCAGGAACACCTTCCACGAGACCAGGGTGCTTCAGGTCCTGTCCAACCTGGCCTTGGACACTTCAGTGAGAAGGTGACACCGCCAGAGCTGGCCCCAGGTGCTGCCACCAGTGCTGAACCACTCATTCCTGCTGAGAAGGACCCTCAGGGCCACACCTGTCCCTGTCACCAGCAGGTGACTTCACATTCTGGATTATTACCAAACGCACACCCAGCACCTGCTGCAGCAGCACTGGGAAGGCAGACACAGCCCAGAACAAACCAACGCTAACCTGGGGCACAGCCGGGGACAAGAGCAGCTGCAGTGTCCCCTTCTGCCGTGACCTGTGCCCCAGCAGCACACACCTGAGCCTTCTGCCGTGACCCGTGCCCCAGCAGCACACACCTGAGCCTTCTGCCGTGACCTGTGCCCCAGCAGCACACACCTGAGCCTTCTGCCGTGACCTGTGCCCCAGCAGCACACACCTGAGCCTTCTGCCGTGACCTGTGCCCCAGCAGCACACACCTGAGCCTTCTGCCCTGACCCGTGCCCCAGCAGCACACACCTGAGCCTGCACGTCACCGGTCCCAGGCTGCACCACACACAACTCATTCAGCTCACACACAGGTAGTTCCACCTTCCCTTCCCAACATTTATTGCTCCCACAGGTGTCAGAACTTCTGGAACTGTTTCTTGGTGCCCGCAGCCTTGGTCACCTTGAGCACGTTGAAGCGCACGGTCTTGCTGAGGGGGCGGCACTCGCCCACTGTCACGATGTCCCCGATCTGCACGTCCCTGCAATGACACCGGGGGGTCAGGGAGCTCCCGGGGCTCACCTGGCCCTCAGAGCCTCCTCCTGGCACAGCCAGTGCCGGGAACCTGCCCCTGGTTCAGTGGATGCCAGAGGCATTGTCAGCAGCCCCTCAGCCGGGGCACTCTGCAGACCATCGTGAGTTTGAACATCATAACCTGTGGGCAGGCTCCAGGGAGGACAGGCTGTGTCCCGCCCAGGTGGGGACAGCCCAGGGCCAGCACGCACCTGAAGCAGGGGGACAGGTGCACGGACATGTTCTTGTGGCGCTTCTCGAAGCGGTTGTACTTGCGGATGTAGTGCAGGTAATCGCGGCGGATGACGATGGTGCGCTGCATCTTCATCTTGGTCACCACACCTGCCACACAGGGGACACACACCTGAGGGGCTGCAAGGGCACTGCCAGGGATTGCTGGCAGCCACAGGCACCAACCCCAGCAACCTCTCCTTGTTTACTGGCCCTCAGTGCCAGCCCACAGCCTCCCTGTTTCTGTTACAAACCCCGCCACAGCTCCTCTCCAAACCCTTCTGACACACTTCCTAACACTCCCCATACCATCAGCTCCCATCCCACCCCACCTGTCCCCAGCACACCTGGTCCTGACAGCTGCATCAGTACAGCCATGTGGCAGTGTCATCATGCCCACACAGGCTCAGCAGACCATCGTGAGATTGCCATCATTTGCAGCTCCAGGACTGGCAGGCTGCAGGGCCCTCGGGGGTTGTTACCTCGGTTACCTGCCCCCAACCTGCCACAGCACTCCTCTGGGGATGCTCCAGCTCACCTGAGAGTATGCGGCCCCGGATGGAGACGTTGCCCGTGAAGGGACACTTTTTGTCGATGTAGGTGCCCTCGATGGCCTGCAGAGACAGGCGAGTGTCAGGTGGGCACAAACAGCCCATGTGCCACCAGAGCCCAGAGAGCACTCAGACACAGGTGGGGAAGAGCCAACAGAGGCCTCGAGTCCAAGCAGCACTGCCAAGGCCACCACCGACCCATCCCTAAATGCCACATCCACATCAGGGCCACCACAGCCCACAGCCCCCAGCCCAGGCGCCCTCACCTCCTTGGGGGTCTTGAAGCCCAGCCCCACATTGCGGTAGTAGCGAGGCAACTTCTCCTTGCCCCCCTCGCCCAGAAGCACTCGCTTCTTGTTCTGGAAGATCGTCGGCTGCTTCTGGTAGGCGCGTTCCGTCTGTGGGCGGGGACAACGGGGGATCAGCACCGGGGGGAGCCGGGCCCCGGGGGAGTCGGGCCCCGAGACCCCCGGCAAGGGGAACTCAGCACCGAGACCCCACAAAACCCCCGAGCCCCCAGATCCTTCCCCTAAGCCTCGGGACACCGGACCGTCTGCCCTCCCCCACACCCCGGGGCACTGAGGCCCGTCCCGAGTTCCGGGCTCGGAACGCTCTGCTCCATCGCCCCCCTGTCCCGAGACACGGCCCCTCCCCGCGAGGGGTACAGCCCCAGGGCATGGGAGTTTCCGCTGCCCCGGGACCCCGAAGCGCGGCATCCTCTGGGCTCCCCTGCCACGCCGGGGCACCGAGAGCCGCCCCCGCCGACCCCTCCCCGAACCCCGGCCCATCGAGACACCCCCCGCCCTCGCCGGCTCCGGGATTCCGGCCCCCCTTCGCTCCACCAACCCCGGGGAACGGGTCCCCCGCGGGGAAAGGGTCTCCACACCCAGATCCCCCGCACCTCCCCTCATCACCTTCCCCACGCCCTTAAGGCCCCGAGCGTCTCTCCCGCACGCCGCCCCTCCCCGATCCGGGCGGCCTCTTCCGCGCCCCCCACCACCGCAGGGCCGGTATCACCCTCCCAGGGTCCGGGCGTGGCTGTTTCGGGGCTGTGCCCGGCCTGTCCCGCGGGCCCCGCGCAGGACCCACCTGCGTGTCCGCCATCTTGGCGAGCGCGGCCGGAAAGAGGCCGCGGCGAGCGCGGGGCGCGGGTTAACCCGGGGCGGGGCCAGGGGCAGGAAGTGACGTCACGCGGCCGGTGTGCCGCCGCGGGGCCGGAAAGGCGGGAACGGCCCCGGAATTCCTGAGGGGAGCGGGCGCGGAGCGGGCCCGAGAGCACCGAGAGCCCTGGCTGTGCCCTCCGAGTGCCGGCTGCAGGGGACACCTGCAGGGTTGGGCACTGCAAAGCTCCCTGGGCAGTCCCTGCCAAGGCCTGAGCACCCTTTCCATGGGCAAATTGCTGCTGCTGTCCAAGCTGAGCCTGCCCTGGCCCAGCCTGAGGCCGTTCCCTCTGCTCCTGTCCCTGTGCCCTGGGAGCAGAGCCCGACCGCCCCGGCTGTGCCCTCCTGGCAGGGACTTGTGCAGAGCCACAAGGGCCCCCTGAGTCTCCTTTGCTCCAGCCTCAGCTCCTGCCCAGCTCCCTCAGGGATTCTCCAGCCCCTTCCCAGCTCCATTCCTTGCCCTGGACGTGCTTCAGCCCCTCCATGTCCTTCCTGAACTGAGGGACACAGCCCTCGAGGTGTGGCCTCAGCAGTGCCAGCACAGGGCGCTTCCGTGCCTTACTGGCCACACTGTTTCTAGTACAGTCAGGACCTCGTGTCGGGCAAAAGCCCCAAGAGGGTGAGTGGGACTTGGTCACAGATGGATTGGCGATTGTGAAAAGGCTCGGCTGCAGGGCTGGAACTGCAGCTAACGCAGGCAGCACCCCCAGGTTCTGGCCTGGGCTGGCTCCACATCCCTTTGCTGGCTGGCTGGCTGGCTGATGTTGCACACTGCTAGGACAAGGCTGGATATAGCTCACCCCACTCTGCCCGGAGCACCTGCCCCGTGCAGCTGGAGAAAAGCTGAAGCCTGACTGCAATAAACACGTGAACTACTGAAATCCAGGCATTTTCCAGTCCTTGTTCCCACAGGTCACACAGCCAGGGGGTGTTTGGGACACAGAATGGAGCCATGGCCTGGTGGGCTCCCAGAACCCCCAGGAGACACCACCACTGGGTATCCAGCCCCTTCAGCCTCATCCCATCCCACCCCCATCCTCATCATCCTCATCCCCATCCCATCCTAATTATCTGCATCTGCACTCTCACCCCAGGAACACTTGGAAACCTCTGCGTGAGGGCCATGAAGGGGTCCTGGGGGTGTCCCCAGGGGTGTCCCCGGTCAGTGCTGGATGGGAACTGCAGTGGCAGGTGGGGGACCAGTGCTGGCAACACTCCACGAGCTGCCTGCTGTCCCTGGCAGTCACAGCCTCAGCCAGGTCCCGTGGCTGCCCACAGACCCCCGCAGACGCCCAGAGCCGAGGGGGAAGCAGGCACAGGCCTTCCCAGGCCAGCAGCAGGACAGTGACCCAGCCATGCAGGGGGCCCTGGCCAGCCCCCCACCCTGAGAGCTGCACAGACGGGGAGGCGCTGCCCTCAATCAGACCCTTTATTGCCAAGGGTTTACACAGCACAGACACACAGCCCTCCCCATGCACAGCCCCCCCAGCCCAGCCCCCGGGGCTTGCATAGAGAGCGGCCGGCCGGCGGGGCCGAGGGGGCAGAGCCAGCCCGCCCCGCGCCCCCCGCCCTGCGAGCCCCGGGGGCCCCCCAGGGTCCTGCCCTGCTCCCCCGGCGGCGGCGGGGCCAGCCAAGGTGCGGCCCGGCCTCGCCCCGCGCCACCCCAATAAATTAAAAAGGTCCGAGTCCGGGTTAAAAAGGGGGTTCACTCCTCGGGGGGCTCGGTGAGGAACGGCGAGGTGACGGCGTGGGCCTGGGCGATGGCGGCCAGCTCCTTGAGGAACTCGCTGAAGATGACGGCGCAGTAGACGGCGTTGCGCACTCGCAGGGCCTCGCCGTGCCGCGCCGGGGGTCCCAGGGGGTGCAGCCCCCCATCCCGCAGCCCCTGCAGCGCCAGCTGCGCCGCCTGCCGCGCCCGCGTCGGGCTGTTGGCATGCCGCAGCAGCAGCTCCCCCAGGGACGGCTTCCGACTGCGGGCTGGGGGCACAGGGGTTCAGGGACACGGGCTGGGGGCACAGGGACACCCAGCACCCAGCACAGCCCCCAGCCCGGGCACACAGCCCCCAGTGCAGCCCCCAGCCTGGACCCCAGGGACAGCTCCTGGCTGTGCACACACAGGATGGCACCCAGCCCCCAGTGAAGCCCTCAACTCCCCCACACCATCTCCAACTCTCCTTATCACACAACACACAACCCCCAGGCCCCCTCCCCAGTCCCTGCATGGACCCCTCACCCCACCCACACACCAGACTCCCAAAGCAACCCCCAGCCCACCATGCACAGCCAGCCCCTTGCACAATGCAGCCTGCTGCACAGCCCCCAGTCCCCCGTGCAGCCCCCACCCTCTGCACTACACACTGACAGACCCCAGACCCCTGTACAGCCCCCACCCTCTGCACTACACACTGACAGACCCCAACCCTCCGTGCAGCCCCCACCCCCTGCACTACACATTGTGCAGACCCCAGACCCCAGGCAATGCACAGGGCAGCCCCCAGCTCCTTGTTCAACACAGCGTGCAGCCCCCAGCCGCAGGTGCCAGTCCCAGCTGCCTGCAGAACCCGCAGCCCCCCAGGCAGGGTCATGTCCTCACCCAGGGTGTCGGTGCGCCGCAGGGCAGGGACAGCCCCGGGCCCCTCAGCCCAGTCCAGCCGCCCCCGGGCAATCAGGTACTTCTTGGCCTTGAAGAGCAGCGCTGGGAAATCCTCTTGAGTGGCAGCAAAGCTCTCGATCTTGTTCTTCACCGAGCCCAGCACCTGCAGGACCACAGCACGGGGGTCCCCACAGGAACAGGGGTCCCCATCAGATGGGGCGTTCCCTTGAGCACAGGGTACCCCAACAGGAAGGGGGGGGGGTCTCCACGGTAACAGGGGATCCAGAGGGGGTTACAGCCATGGGGGACATGGGGGCAGGGGTGGGCTGGGCAGCACAGGGCAAACTCAGCAATCTTGGGGTTAAAAAGGGTTAAAACCCTTTCCAATGCTTTCCCATGACTCCATGAGGGCAGGGGCTCCCCAGGGGCCATACCTGGAGCAGGGACTTGACACTGGGCTGGAAGACCATGTTGGTGTTGAGCAGGAAGGAGCGGAGCAGAGGCTGGGGGTAGCAGGCCAGCTGGGCCACCAGCCCAGTCAGCAGGAAGTTGACATACAGCGAGTTGTGGGGCATGTTCTCCAGCTTCCCAAAGAGCACCGACACAAAGGGGCCTGGGGACACGGCGGGGTCAGGCAGGGCCCCACGGGGAGCTGGGACCCTCCCTGTGCCCCCGTGCCCACCTGTGAAGGGCTGGCTGGGGGGCGGCCCCACCGCCCGCGGCGGGCTGGCCACCACCTGCGCCAGGGGGTCCGGGGGCCGCGGCGGCGCCCGCCCGGTGCCCGCGTCCCCCTCGGGCAGCGCGGCGAAGCTGGCAAAGGCCTCCTCCTCCTCGTGGGACAGGGGCGGCTCAGGGGGGTCCGTGGGGGCGGCTGGGGCCCCCCCCACGCCCCCGTTCTGCATCTCGGCCTCGATCTCCCGCAGCTCCTCGGTGAAGGTCTCGATGGAGACGCCGGCGCCCGGGGGCTCGGCGGGCACGCGGGCCAGCAGCTCCTCCAGCAGCGAGTCCACCGAGGGCAGAGGCTCCCAGCCGGGCGGCTGCGCCCCAGGGGCCCCGTTCGGAGCCCCCCCGCCGCCCTCCCCCTCGCCCTGGGGGCTCCGGCGCACCTTCTTCACCGCCACGTCCCCCTCCGGCCG